GACACGGGTAGGCTGCCGCTAGTGGGCTAGGCGGTCGCTAGGCGGCTGGGCGGGCCTCCTAGGCGGGTTGGGTCATTTTTCGTTGCCGAACCCGGAGGACGAAGCAGCCGAAACCGAAGAAAACAAATCGAAGCTTAAGCTGATAGAGAAGCGAAACGTCGACTGCAACCTCCGTCCTCTGCGAGTGCAAGCTTCGTGTTCGTTTGGAATATATTACAGGGTATAGCCGTTCGGCTATACGCTTAAAATATACGAGTATATTAACATTTATACATGTAAAATATTCGAACGTATTTAGACAGTATAGCCGGTCGGCTATACTCTTGAAATATACAATTTTGTAATATCATTTCAAGGTTTGGGGCTGAAATACCACTTTAGTCCATTGGACTAGAGCTATTCTTCAATTATTTTATTTGTACAAGCAATATTGGGGACTGAGAATTTAAATTCTTTCCAATACCTCCCATTCTAAAGATTTCCAACTACTAGCTCATTGGGCAAGAATAAAAAAATGGATTTTATTTATAACAAATAACTTGGGTTTAACACATAAATTCAACAACAAAAAATAGGATGTCAATGAACTCGAGCTCAATCCTTCTAAAGCATTTTCAGCTAATGAAGTCACAGTCCTTTTACAATAAGGGAGGCTCGATAAACGATATTTTTTGTTGGTGTGTTAATCTAGTGCTTTTGAAGTTAGTTTGAAAAGTTAAATATAATTAAGAGATTCCTAACTCATGCGTTAGCAAATGCACCCTCTAATTTTTTTATTTTTCTCTCAGCAAACAAGAGGGCATGATCAAATGTCAAAATCTATAACAGAAATGCAATATCCAAAAAATGAAAAGCAGTCCAACCAAGAAGAAACTATCAAATATTAGTGAATCAACCTGAAGCCAGTTTCAAGCCGAAAAAACTTACTTGTGTAGTATGAAGAGCCTGCCCAAGCCGCTGAATTTGAATCCATTGTTCTGTAACAATGTCAGCCATCTGAAAGCAAAGAGAAAGAAGCCAATGGCAAAATGAACACCACACTAACAATATCACACACTCATAACCATAGACCAAAGATGGATTGAGTACATCAGTGCATGACCTTTTGAGCCTGAGAGGCAACCGTTTCGAGTCTATCCTCGGCATCTTGTGCTTT